AAAAAAAAAAAAAGAATAAAATGTTTTCTTCTCACAGAGAACTTCTCCTCAGTGCAGGGTTGTCCCTCTTTGCCCAAGCCAGGTATCAGTTTAGTACTTTTCAGCTCTGATCTGTTCTTTCCTTACTCCTCTGGATTATTGGGCTAGAATCTTTGAGCATTTTCCCTCCCTTGCAGTGAGCTGATGTTAAACCTGTGAATAGAGGACATCAGAGAGACATTGTGGGAGGAAGGGGCTTCTCTTGGCTCTGATTTGTTTTGTCTTCTCTTTTGGTTTGTTCTATACTTGCACAAGGCATAAAATTAACACAAAAGATGTTCAACACACATGTGATAACAAGCAGAAACAAAACCAAAAACTATTCTAGAGTTGGAACATCATTTGCCATAAAAAGGAATAAATTAGTTCATGCTACCATGTGGCTAACCCTTGAGAATGTGATGCTAAGCCAGACACAAAGGTCACACGTTGCATGATTCCAAATGTGTGAAATATCAGAAAAAGTTCATCGAGTCATATGAATACTGGTGACTAACAGGGACTGGGGGTGGAGGTGGGGAATGGAGAGTAACTGCTTTGTAAGTATGAGATAAACTCCTGGCCAGATGAAAATGTTTTAGAACTAGATAAATGTGGTGGTTGCACGACATTGTGAGTATCTGAAGTGCCAGTAAGTTCTTCATTTTAAAATAGTTAATTTTTATGTTACTTATGTCATTTATGTAATTTTATGTCATTTTACATTACATTTTATGTAATTTATGCCATTTCACCACAATCTAAAAATAACACACTATTCTGGAGTGATATTTCTACAATGTGGAAAAATCCACACTGAATGTGAGTTCACAAATAGAAAATAAAAAGCACCGTCTGGGAAAGTCAACAGAAGCAGCCCACAGGAGAATTAGAATCCTAAGAACCCAAAATGATGTAAGTAACCTCAAGCATTAAAAGGTAAAGAAAGCTGTAAAAAAGGAATCAGAGTGTATGAAAACAGAACAAGGGAATTGTTAAAATAAGTAAATGGAACTTCTAGAAATCAAAAATATGATAGTTAAAATCTGTAATGAATACAATAAACAACTGAATAAGTTAAACTGACGGGATCATCAATGTAATGGAACTTAAAGCTGAGGATACAAAGAGATTAAAAAATATGTAAGTGATTTTTTAAAAAATTGGATGTATGTAGATTAAGAAGATTAAAAAAAATGTCTAATGAAAGTGCCAGAAAAAGTAAATGACATCGTAAAAAATAAAAATAGAGATAGGTAATATTTGAGGGGATAATGACTAATAATTTTTCAGAATTCTCATTATTAGCTAACTAAAATATAAACTGTTACAATTATACTTAAAAATATGTCAATATCTAATAAATGTAAAGAATGTGCATATATCAGAAGCCTACAATCCTACCTCTCTCCACTAGAGAGAAGAAAACTTTGGAAGAGTAAGCACCTGTGCAGTAATGTACCATGCAGCATGCTTTACAAGAGGGAAAAAGAGATGTTAACTGAGTATTTCATAGGAAAAGCCTTTTGACAGACTATTTTTGTACATTAAGGGCTTTGCATTCAGTCATGAGGACTGCTTATTACTCAACAGTTTAGACATTGGATCAGTTAAATTTTATCCGAGGAAAAAGCTTGTCAATTGAATTTAAAACAAAACATATGAATTAATAAGTAAAGACCATAAATACTGTATTAATTTTATATAATGTCTCTGAATAAAGCCAAATACCATTCAGAACAATGGTATTTGGAACCTGGTTCAAAATCAGTTGTTAGGCACCATTGTAATGGGTTTTATTATTTTACTAGTTGATAGACTGTAAATAGCAGGTTAGAAATAAAGGATGAGACTATGCCTAGAGAAGAAGCGTGACACTGAGGAGCAACAGATGACAGCTGGAAGAAAAGCAAACAATGCAAAGCAGATGTATTTATGCACAAAGCTTATCACTGGGGCCCCAAGTTCAGAGGCGTGTAGCCCTGTGTATCTGTGTTTCTCTGGAAGTCCTTATTATATTACCACGTGGCTTAAAAGTCCATGTTCAAAGTGCAGCATTGTCACAAATTTCATTTTGTTCTGTATTTCCTGTTCAGTGTGTTAGGTTAAGGAGAGAGGACTAAAGAATGGAGACAATAAAGGAAGGATTGAAGAAAGTTGAAGGGGAAACCTTAGGGGTGACCCTGACAGTTTAAACCCAAGACATGCTGTCGGGTAGGAGAAAGTTAGGAGTAACACTCATGGGACCAGACCAGAGTTTATTGGTTGAAAATATATTTAAATTCATTTTGACAACCTTCAGAACAAACACTGTTAGTTAAGAAGGCAACACACTGTTCTTCCTGATTGGCCCTGTGATGTTGAACCTGCAAACTGAAAATGAAGACATATGTTAGAGTTTGAGGATGGAATCTCGCCTCTGCCTCTCACAGGCTGTTGACTGGGGTATTTCCCTGTGATTTTAAATGTCATCCCTTTTTAAAACATGATTTTTTCTTTTAAAGCAGTTTAAATTTAAAATACAATTATGAAGCCCCTACAGAGACCTCCCATATAATGTATAATCAACCCCAATTTTTCCCTTTTATTAACATCTTACATTGGTAGGGTGCATTTGTCGAGTTAATGATCTGCTATTATGTTCACAGGTAATGATATGTATCTGTGTTTCTCTGGAAGCACAGGTACATATCACAGGGCTATACGCCTCTTATTGATACTCTATTATTAACTTTACTCAGATTTCTTTAGCTTTTACCTGATGTCTTTTTACTCTTCCAGGATCCCATCCAGGATCCTACATTGCATTAGTCCTCATGCCTCTGTGGGCTCCTCTTACTTGAGACAGTTTGCCATCCCTTTGTTCTAAATATCCTTTTTTCCCCCTAATTATTACCTATTTTTTATTTCTAAAAAAGTATAGTTTTATTGAAATATAAGTATTTCCTACTTGAACATTTTATTTTACTTATATTTTTAAAGCCATACATTTTATTTTATTCAAGTACCTATAATACATAGTTCGGTTCATCTAAAAATAAATATTCTTTCAATTCTTTTTTTTAAATTTCAGATTAATATGAGGGTCTAAAAGAACCTAAAACCTAAAAGAATGTTTAGGTTACACTGTTTTCATTTCTCAGATAAAGTTCAAGTTGTAGTTGAGCCCTTCACCCAGAGGGCATGATGAACACCATTACATTGTGCACATTAGGTGAGATTCTTCCCTCCTTTCTCCCCCTTCCTCTCTCCTTCCTCTGCCCAAATCCCCTTTTAGAGAAATAGCTTTGAGCAGCATTACCCTGGAATGTCTTCAATGCTGTTTTGACCACAAAGAAAAATTCCACTATTTTTTTCTCTCTTAACTAATCCCAAGTGTTGGCAGGTACATGTCTCACCTGTGCCAGTCTCAAAGTCAATAGGCAAAAAGGGACTGTTCCTGTTTGTTGACCTATTTGTTAATCTCCACCATGCTGGGCCAAGGCAAAGTCGAAGGAGGAACTTTGTCTTTGAGTTTGCGCCTAGTTCTCTAAGATTAGATCTAACTTTTAGTTTCAGGTTAACATGATGTTCTCACAAACTGAATCATATCTCCCTTAAAAAGGTCCTGGTTATTCAAAGGAGTAGGGCGCTGGCCCCATATGCCAGAGGTGGCAGGTTCAAACCCAGCCCTGGCCAAAAACTGCAAAAAAAAAAAAAAAAAAAAAAAAAGGTCCTGGTTATTGCCAGAATATAATCATCAAATGGCCCTGGGTACACCAACATCAGCTAGCTAAGACAGGGTTGCAGAGAGAAGAGGCTCAAACATCCAAAAACCTTTGGTGGAGGATCCAGCATGTGCTAAGCCTTGGGCTTAGCATTGCAGTACAGCAAAGAAAAAGGCAACACAATTCTTTCTTTCACAGACTAATAGATTGTTCATTTTAGAGGAATGTGGATGTGCATGAGTAAAGAACTGACAGAGTCCACATGCCCTATTAAAGGTCAATTTTCAGAAATACTCAGACTGGAAGGAATGTGAGGCATTGCTTGCTCAGTTCCAAGTATTCCCCACTGATGAAGTGGCAAGTCCAGTCTTTGAATTTAAAATGTTTGAATCTTTAGAAATGACCAAAAGAAAGAACTCTAGAGAAAAAAAATACTGAAAAATTCTCAAGAAAGCACTTGGGTAAATACATGACTTGGGATCTAAATGGCGTCTTAAAATTTTCAAACTAAAAATGATCAGAACTGAAAAAAAAAAAAGTGAATAGTTAGCTTGACTCAGAACAATTGTTTTTCTTACTTAAAACTATTTATTAGCCTTAAGCAAAATAACACAATATCTGTGTAATATTATCTAGACATATAAATAGCTGGGGCAGGGCAAGGATAAGATTGGAGACTTAAGCCTTGAGAGAGCTTATCTTTTCTTCATGAGAACAGGGGATGACAATTGAAAAATTTCAGGAAGATCCAGAAATAGAGAACATGAAATATCAGAGGCTGGGCTCCAGAGAGCAGAGAAGATAAAGAAAACAGTTGCCTGCTTTGCTGTAAGAGCTAAGAAATGCCATATGGGGTATTTTGAGAGAATGATGTATCCTTCACACTGTGAACCTCCCCTTTACACTGCTCTGTGCACCTTCAGTGACACACGTATGTGCTGCTAACACTTCAGAATAAATGGATTAATTAAGGTGACGTGAACTGGTGTTGAGACCTGCTTTAAAAATGTCATGGGGTCAAAGTAAAAATTACTTTCAGGGACAACTAAGATGCAAGTTCCAGTCAACATTTTAGCCTAGGACTAAGGAGATAAAGATAAAGCCTTACATTAGGAATAAGCCACTTTCTGTCTGGAGAATGAAAAAATTCTCCAAATCTGAAACAAAAAACAAAGTAAAATTGTTAGCATTTCTATAACATACTTGAACAATTTTCTGACAGTCTTTTTGAAACCCAAATCATTAAATACCTCTTCTATTTGATCCCTGCCTCTGCTGAGGAAATAAAACATTTTTACATCCCTGTCTAAGGGATCTATGGAGTTGAAACCTGAAGATATATTGGTTTTCCTGGCAAAAGAAAGGAAAGCAGATTTTTCTACCAAAGGAGACAATTTTTTGTCAAGGAATATGGAATAAGATTATTCGGAAAAGGACATTATTTGAAAGTTACTTGACTTCCTGTCCCTTGAGAAATCACCTCCCGCCTTTTTTTCACACCTTTTCTTTTGTTATAATGAAGTAATAGCCAATAAAAATGAGGCTATGAGTGATGAGATAGAAACACAGTTCCCACCACTCAGAAAGTTCTCCAGCCCTTCTTTCACACCCTCAAGCCCCTCTCCAATTATGTTTGGTAGTTCATGCCTGCTCATTTCAAATTCCTCTCTGGCTTTACTTTCTGAGGTCAAGTCCAGATAACCCTCCATGCTGAACACTGTGAGAGGAAGCAGCATTTCAAATTCCTCTCTGGCTTTACTTTCTGAGGTCAAGTCCAGCTGACCTCCATGCTGAGCACTGTGATAGGAAGCAGCTATCTCAGCAGCCAAAATTGTATGGGAATGCTCACTCAAGCATGAACATACTCACTGAGTAACTGGAAATACCCTTCTTACAAAGGATTACTGTTTGTTTTTGCTAAGTCATTGATGGGAATAAAGCAAAAATATAATTGCAAAAGGATCCCTTTCTAATTACCTTTGTCCTCCCTTCTCCTTGGTTTTGCTGTCACAGGTTCAGTGACCCACAGTCAACCACAATTCAAAAATACTAAATGAAACGTTAAACAGTTCACACGTTTTTAATAATTTTTATTTTGGCCTATTGATAATTGTTCTATTTTATTGTTAGCCATCTTTTTTTTTTTCAAGCTGAAGTTTTATTTAATAAGAAATGGTTCTTAAAAATGCTGGAGAATAAAGCCAAAGGATACAGTGCTCACTTCCTACAAGCTAGCCAGCCTATCCAGGAATAGGGTAACAGTAAAATGCTGGTGGAATTTCACAGTCGTTTAGTGGTATAAGATTATCTGTGCCTAGAGTATGAAGAGATTCTCAGGGGGTGATGCTTAGTTCTGGGTTTTCATCTTCACTGAGCATGGCCCCTGCTCCTTGGGTCCAGAGTTCTTAGTATAGCATCCTTTACAATAGATTTCACCTTTTTCAATCAAAGTTGTTGATTCAAGACTCTTCCCACACTTGGCACATCAAAAGCAGTTTTTATGCCAGGGCTTCTCAGCTCCAATTATCTTCTTGGCAGTGTATACAGAATGCCCACGTCGGGAACACTTCTCAGCACCTCCATGTTTCTGAGCCAGTTTAGAAGTGTTTGGATGTGTTGTAGGCCTGTGAGGTTGAACCCTCTTTGGCTTGATGCTGATCCTTTCCCCAAGGTCCATGTCGAGCCTGCCAGCGCCCTGGCCGTAACCATAGCCTTTTGGCCCATACTTCTTTCTGTAGCAGGATCTTCAGTAGATCTCTACATTGTGAACTGCCACTGTTGTGCTGTCTAATTTTTTTCTGCAAACCATGCACAGAAAGTAGCAACAGTGGAGGCTGCAGCGGTCGCACTGGGCCTCCTCGATGTGGTACATGATGCTCCCACAGGCTCCACACTTGTTTCCACTTCCCCAGACAGGCATTGTGAATGGTAGAAAGTTGTGGAAACAGTTGTGGTAAGCACTCTTACTGTGCCAAATACAAGTTAAACTTTATCAAATAGATGTATGTACAAGTAAAAGCATAGTACAGTCACGCACCGCACGGGGACATTTCCATCAAAGAGAAACCACACATACTAAAGTGGTCACATTAGATTATAATACAGTATTTTCACCGTACTTTTTCTATGTTTAGATATATAACTACTTCCCACTGTGTTAGAATTACCTACAGTAGTCAGTGCAGTAACACACTATACAGATCTGTAGTGTGGGATCACAGGCTATCCCATAAGGCCCAGGTGTGTACGCTGGAAAGTGTTCCCACAACATCACCAGGCAACACACTTCTCAGAAGGCAGCCCCATCGTTTCAGTTATGCATGACTATATATACATGGTTCAATTTTACTTGGAATACATTTCCTGTGGATAAGGGGGGACCAACTACAGTAAAATAAAAGTGACAGGCATGTTCAGTGATGCAGTCAAGTCCTCACTAAAGCCAGAAAAGTGGCCTACAAGATGGTGTTAGTCAGACTAGTGCCATGATAACACAGCTGGTCTGGTTGGTTTAGGGCCTACATGACCTCCAACTAATGTCTTCCATCCTTCTTGTTCTTAGCTTCAACCTAAAAATGTATATCTTGAGTAGTTTATGGTGACTGATTTAGGAGACTAACATTTGAATTAGAAACATTGTAATAGGTTATGAGTTATACTGAAGAGTGAAATGGGCGGTGCCTGTGGCTCAGAGGGGTAGGGAACCGGCCCCATATGCCAGAAGTGGGTTCAAACCCACACCCGGCCAAAAACTGCAAAAAAAAAAAAAAAAAGAGTGAAACAGGAAGCTCTAGGGTGGGAGGCCAAAGACTACAGAACAAGGAACTACTGAGTTTTGAGAACTTCACCCTTTTTTTCACATCTCACCATGCCTGGCAAAATTAAAGCTGCAGCCTGTGCAACAAACACTTCCCCTTGCAAAACGCAAGCATGTTTTCGTGTTCTACTTTTGTAAATGAACAGAAAGAAAACAGGGTACAGACAGTGACTTTTCAAAGGTTTCTTACCACCAATATTATCAGATCTACCACTGTCCACGGCATTAACCCTATGGCTGACTTAATGATATCTCTGTATCCACAGTATCATTAGATCCATCAAACTACACAGTTGGTGGCTCTCAGCCCTAAAGCACCCTGTTGTCTCTAAGCCAAATAGATCAGTTGAAATATTGAAACATGTTTATAAAAAAACTACCTGAACCCTCATGGAGGGGTGCTTTTTCACATGTGTACAATGGACACCACGTGGCTAGCAGGGGCCTCATGCCAGCCCCTCACAGTTCACAGGAGCAATCTCAGTGTTGACATCTCTCCAGTCATATCTGGCAAGAAAACCACAGCCCCCCTGGACTTATTGGAATCACACATCAACAGCAACACACCAAAATGTGAGGCTGGGGTAGAGAGGTGATTGATTATGCAATCCCAGCCTCTTGGGACTGGAAGGGATTCTCTGACTTGGCTCAGAACAGAAGTACCTTTCCTGACAACACCCAGTAACAGGCCAGAGGCTGCCTGGTTGTAGTCCTTGACTCCTTGATTATTACCTCCATGGCGTTAGGCAAGCTACTTGCCTTCCTTACACCTCAGTTTTATCTTCTGTAACATGGGCCAAAAAATGTAGTTGTCACAGACAGTTTTGTTCTGCTGTGACACTTGCCTGATGGCTCTGCAGTCAGATACAGCTCAGAGTTTGTGACTTCAGTGAAGTAGGACCCTCTCAATGTACCAGATACCCCAAACTCCTACACTCCACAAAACTCTGAGAAACAAAACTAGAAACTAGAAACACAGGTGGAGATGGACCACATGTTATGAAAGAACATGCAAATAATGAAGAGCAGTAGACTGTGTAAGCAGCTTAAGGTTCGCTGGATCGAAACCAAGAAAATGATGAAATAAGTTTTATCTAATTAACAGAAAATAACATAAAAAAAAA